TTTGTCTATCTGTCTGTATGTTCGTTATAGAAATAAAAACTACTCGACGGTTTTAATGAAATTTGATACAATTATTCTTCATACTCTTGGGCAGGTTATAGTATACTTTTCATCACGCTACGATCAATAGGAGCAGAGCAGTGAAGGGAAACAGATACACTGTTACATCAAAACCACTGAACCGTGAGAAAGGACATAGGCTACTTATTTTACGAAAAACGACAGAAACGCAGACGAAGTCGCAGGCAACAACTAGTTTACAATATAATTTATGGAAACGCTGAAACATAATTTTGGGGTTTTGCTCGGTTACACAAAATTAAAATTAAATGTACACAATTAGTTCGCCTGTTCTTGTTAAAATTGTCTATAACTTTCTTTTATGGTCTTATTATCTCTCTGAATCACATAAAGTCAACAGAATGTTCACCGTCAACGACGGTTACACTCATAGTTATGACGATCGCTTGACGTAATAGAAAGAATATTGTTCTCACTGTGTGACACAACAGAGCAGCTAACCGAGTGAAAGCGAATGGATTTGTAATTGAGATAATTAAAGTTTTTACTTTAACAGTGGAAAATCTAAAGAGATGGCGTTATTTTTAAAGGATTTAAAAAGGAAAGAAACTCTCAGATCCATTACGTTTGGAGCATTATGTGCTATGCGTCGCAAAATCTACGTTATTTTTTAATCCTTTTAAAAACGTACATTATTAAATCGAAATTTAAAAAATGAAGTATGTAGTCCATTACAAACAGATACAGGTTGTTTTTTTTTCAAGAATTGAATAAATATTTTTAGTATTTGGTCATGGAAGTATTTTTTATAGGTGTAAGAAATATTTCTAAATGTCTACGCAAATTTTAAGGAATGGGTTACGTTAATTATAATACTGTAAATGTAAACCGATTAATTTATCAAAATTAGATGACGTGAAGATGTAGACAGATAATTTGTACAAATCAATGACCAGTCTATTTTGGCTAAAATTTAATAAAAAAAAGTACAGCTACAATGATACGAGTAAATATGACATCTTTCTAACTGAATTCAATACAGAAACATATGTAAAAAGTGTTAAATCCATTTTTTAAGTCTACTAAAACTATTATTTTTCGATTTTTTTCTACCAGTAGTATAGTAGATATGTAGATCAATATAAAATAAAATTAGAATAAATAAAACACAATTAAAAACAACCATAATAACTTTAATTAAAATTTCGTTATACAAAACAGGACATACGGATTTATAACAGACAGTTAATATTTCCTGTCGCGTTGTTTTTTTTTTATTCTATACGCTGCCCAGTCTACATCTCGTATAGATACATATTCTACATCACACGTGCCTCCCTAAAGAAGAGTCAAACGAATCTACAATATTAATAGAATCTGTACTACTAGCGAATCTGTGAAATATAATGAGCCAGCTATGTTCGGTGTCTTGCTTTTTCTCACTAAAACGATTCTATCTGTAGATTCGTTTGTCTCTTGTCTAAAGGCTGTCTCTAACTAAACATTTAGACTTTTATACTAACACGACACGTTCATCTGTTAATTTAATAAGAAAGGGGAAGAAGAGAGAGAAGAGAATTTCTCTCACCCAGAATGGATATGAAATTATTTTCAACATACTAATAAGACGCCAATAATTTCACTTTTATTCTTGTAGATTGTAAATTTTCCTTATTTTTATATATACTTATCTAAATTAATAATAATAGAATACAATTTTCACGATGACTATGACGTTGCATGAACTTGTATGTATGTCCTGCACACACTTCCCGAACGGAAGTGCGTGCGCTCGTCACCATTCAACCCGCGTTCGTTGCGTTTACAAATCAACACAGTTATCAACACGGTACAGTCCATTTTAAACTATACCATTATAGTGTTTAGATCCCTTATCGAACGCGGAGAAAGTTGTAGACTGAAGAAAGTTTATTGTGTGTTTTGTATATATATCTATTGGAGGTATAATTTAATCAATTGTTGTCATACCGTTGCGCGGACGCGTGACTAGTAGATCAATAATGATTGTCTGTCATTGAGTTTATTGACGATATATTTATGTAAATAGACAAAATCACGACATTTAATATCAATATTTACTGACATTATGAGTAGTGGAACAAATTTATTAGCTTTTACTCGCCTTTTTACATACAATTAGTATTTTGTTATATTTTGAAAATTCCCAATTTAAATTGTATTTAAACATTTTTTCAGCCATTTAGTCGTGAAATAAAATAAAATTAGAAGAAGTTAAAATGGATTTATTAAACGATTAACTTTGGTATAAATAAAATTATTTATTAATTAAAAGAAATACCCGGCAGACGACTCCTCTGTTAGTATAAATAGGAATCACGAGACGATAATAAAAGAAATAAATAGTATTTGCCTTAATACAGCACTATCTAGCAAATAAATTATATAAATATACGTAATAAAATATACAGCGCGCAACGTTATAGTCACTAAGGTGATTTTTGGAACTTCCCCAAATATTTATTTTCTCCAAAATGAGAAGATCTTTTTTTACTTTTAATCAAAAACTAAAATTTTGAACGTAACCACTAATTATAACTCGTAACGCTTTCTAACTATCAAACTTTACACACCAAAACTAAAAATTTACTATTCAAAATTCTCCATGAAATATTGTTTGCAAAAATTTCTGTAACAATATTATTCCATAT